ACAACTATTCTTCTCTCTATTTCTATTGTAGTCAATATTTTCAGCTTCCACAAGTCACTGAGGACATACAGTATTTATCTTTCCTTGCTTCTTTCATTTGACATAGTGCCCCAAGTGAGAGTTTTCTCTTATTCTCTTCTCTGCTTGAAAGCTCTTACCCCAGATACCAAGCACCTTGGCTTACTTCCTTATAGTCTTGGTCACATAGCCCCTCTTCACACACTCACTCATCAGTACTTGATGTTACAGTATTTATTCATCTGTTTATTGTTTATTCTCCACCTCTCCAGCTAACATACAAGCTATTCCCTGGCAGGAACACTGTCTTTTCTGTTCATTGCTCTATTACTAGTGTCTTGAATAATGCCTAGAATGTGAAATGTGTCAATAAATATTGGTGGGATGAATATTCTGTTCTAGCATGCCCATTGAACCAATGATTAAGCCATGTTACTGTGCAGTAGAATGACTGACCCAAGGTCACACAACTGGTTCATAGTAGACTAGAGGAAAAACCAACCATAAAACAAATAGCTATCAAGAGACCTACGTAATGCCCCTAAAAGGTGACTCCCAGAGAAAGACTGCACACACACAGCTTAGTGGAGAAGTGATTCCAGAGAGAAAAAGGAGGGATATGGTGGGTTGGAACCAAGTCATAAGAGTGATTGCTCTCCATCTCACCAGGACCCTTGAGGAATATTAGAAAGTGCACCTCTGAGGTCCTCATCTGTGGGATCAAGAAGGGCAGATTCATCCATGGTATCTACTGACCAAGGGTGCTGTGTGTGTACTGAACCTCACCTGTGTGTGGCTTCCCTCAGGCTCCCCACTGTTCAGAGGCACCTGCATAAAGCTGGCCTAACGTGGCTTAGTACTGGTCACGAAAGTACCTGCTGGAACAGGGAGAGACGGACTGAGGTTTTTAGTGGCTCAGAAGGGATTTCCTGTTCAGCTCATGATTTCTAGTCCTGAGCTTTTTTAGTCCAGCATTTGTGCTCCATGCTCCTTAGTCACCACTAGGAGGAGTGAAAACATTTTGTAAAAATGCTTCATTCACCTAAATGCAATGAGTTATTGCACCTCAGAACTAAAGATTCTGGTTCCATGGACTTACAGAAATCTCAAAGTAGACACAAGTGTTTCCAGGACCAGGCCAATTAATGACTCATTACTAACCCTTAGGTAAGAAATGAAACAAGAGTCAGAATTCCTGTGTCGCATAAGAGCTTTATCTGAAATAGGTTAGCGATAGTCATTTATATGCTCAAATTGAGAAATTGCTTTGAAAAAGTGATGGTATAACAAAGGTGAATGCCATCATATGAGCCATTATTGTTCAGGTGTATTAGCACAAGTTAGAACAATTCAGCAGGAAGAAAATTGCAATTTCAAGACAAATGCTGTCTCTGGCAATCAAAAACAGTACGATTTTGGCACTGGTTTACTGCAAATTTTCTAACCTATAGCATAGCTAATGCTCAGTAATAGATGGTATTGGATGAATTCTTATGTCTAGTTTAACTGCTTCATTGTTGAGCTGTTTGCCACAGGAGGACGAGATGTAGCCTCAGTGTGGAATGCTCTCTCCTTTTTCCCCAAGGGTGCAGTGGAAGCTTCAGCAGTTTAGTGTACAAGGGTTTAGGATCAAGAGGATCTGAGTTTAGAGTCATCTGTCCACCAGTTGCTGAGGTGCCCATTATACCATCGTATTTCTGTGGTTGGAGTGAGCTGTCCCAGTTGAGTCATCTTTTATTCTGTTCCCACCTGCAAGGCTCCTTTTTTTCAGGGCCAGGAATCCTCAGCTCCCTCCCTGCCATGTGCTCCTCCCACCCCAAACCAGTCAGTGACAGTGAACTCTGTGAGCTACAGACTCTCAGCTGCAAACTCTTAGTGCTTTGCTTTCCATTTTTTCTAACAAAGAGATAAAAATACAGTTAATCCTCTTTACCGGATTACATATTTACAAGTTCACCCACTCCTGAAACGTAGTTGCAGTGCCAAAATCAATACTGTAGCCCATCTGCTGGCATTTGAGATCTGCAGAGTGGGAAAATATTTGAGTCACCTAAAAGGCACATTCCCAGCTGAGTTCCAATGAGGCAGCATTGATTCTGCTTTCTTGTTTTAGTTCTCTGACAGTATAAGGAAGTATTTTTCTTGGTGTGTCTGGTGCCCTTGCTTTTTTGCATTTAGGGGCTTTTTAATGATAATGTCATTCTCTAATTTGGCCCCAAATGCAGTGCTGAAGTATTGTCTAGTGCTGCTTAACACAAGAAGGCTTTGATGAGCCTCATGGATAAAATGCTGTGTATTTGGTAAGATTTGTGCAAGGCGTGAGTTATAATGCTGTCAATCATGCATTCAAGGGCAACAAGTAAACAGTATATAATAAGAAAAAGTGTCTTTCGACAAAATCACACATAAAAAAGGTTCTATGTTGATCGTTTGCTCAAACAGTTGTGAGTAGAAACTTCCAGGCACTTTCCCTTATATTTCTTTTAGGAGCAATGGTTTACTTTACTTTTTTTTACTAATTCACTCCTAGTGGAAAGTACATAACAAGTAAACTACAAATAACCAGTCATAGCGTCCTCAAAGGTTGTCATGAGGATCAAATATGTCGGTATATGCCAGGTACTTAAGACAGATCCTGGCACACAATGAACTCATCTATATAGATCCATATCACACCCACTTCTGACCTCCCTGGGGCTGACCAGATAATGAGGCACTGGTCCCCTCTGCTCTTGAATTTTCCATGCTATCTGCTCTCCACTATCTGCTCTCTACTCTCCACTCTCGAACCCCAGCAAGGCTCACTGAGAAGCAGGGTCACCGTTGACTTAGGGATTCACTAACACGTGCGCACACACATGAATGCCATGCCTCATCTGGATGCCTTGTACATAAACCACACTTTCTACTGAATCCAGTGCTTTTGGAATCACAGGGCTTCCGAAACTCGGAAGCCAAGAAACACTTGTCTTTCTGATTTCCTCTGTCACATCCTTTCCCTAAAGCAATGAGGCTTCCTGATCTAGCTAGAAAGTGAAGAAAGGACCCAAAGGAAGAGAGAAATAGCAGGATTAGAGGTAGGAGGAGGAGACAATGGGAAACATTTTTAAAAATCTTGCTATCTTTTCAAAAAGAGTTTCTTTGTAAATCTAAATAAATATCGGACTTGTGCTGCAGAAAAGAAGGAGAGAAGAGAAAGAAATATTAGGTTAGCTTGAGTGTTTCCTCTGTGACTGCATCATGTGTATCACTGATTGATTTTTCTTGTGCTCTCGGGAGTCAGGGTCATATTTGTCACGTTCATTGATGTTTTGCAAGCTTCCAGCACAATTCCTTATGGGGACAAATGCTGTATCAATGTCTGTTGATAAACAAATGAGGTGAAGGACAAACACACACACAGACACTGACACACACCGGTAGTTATGTTAATTTTTTAGGATTTAGTATGCTTATGTGGGCATAGGTGTGAACCATCCTTAATCTGATCCTTTCATTGCTATTTTCTCAAGGGCAGAAAATAATCAGAATTATCTTCTTGTAAAGGTCATTGGCAACACAGGGGATCTTTGCTCTGTCTTTCTTTGGACATAAAGTAACCAGCACTATACTGCTAGCTTTAATGACTTCAGCTATGTCACCACCAGTGTTGAGATTCCTAACATCACGCATGTGATACAGTGAGGCAATGATAGGCATATGGTTAAGTGCAGACATTGACTTGGATACTCTTTTTAAACTAGGACCTGTGATACTAAGAGCTGGTTTTGTATTCTGGGGGTCAAGTTTATAGAAGTTTCAGATTTTAGAATTAGAGTTATGAACTCTTTGAGTTCTGTCTTTATCTGGGAAATAAAATGGGAACATTAATCACAAAAAAGAATAAAAACTAATCTGTTCAGGTAGGTAACTTGTGTTTGATAAAACAAACTGGAAAGTTGACATTGAAATGCTTTAAACATCAGAGCTAGCCCTACACTAGGCTGTGACATATGCAGAAAATATGCTTCCAGTGCTTTAATTCCCTGGACACACTCCATCACTTGGTATGTCTGTCCCCTTCAGTCTGGTGTTCTCAGAAGTCACTGACACTTCACTGAAGAAACATTTGAGTAACACACACTTACTTAGGTGCTACATAGTGTAACATCCTCCCCTATCCGGGACACTTCAATTTCAACACAAGAACTCAAGAGAATGAGTCACTAAAAATGGATTTCAAATATTAAATAATAGGATGGGGCTGATTTTGAAGAGCCCTGTCTCAGTGTCCCTGCAGTGGCACTGTGTTTAAGCCTGAAAAAATAAAGCAAGAACCAAAAAACTTAAGATTGGAGTCCTACTGGATGGCAATAGAATTTTTAAAAATTCATGCTTAAGCTTTTGTTCTCATTATTTCTATAGCTATCACCTACGAACAAGTTCCTAGAACTTCTATCCGGGAAGGGAGATAGCTTTTAAGGCTGTTTGACTGCAAACTAGCTTGCATACCTTAGAAGCTTAATAATAAATAAGTACTGATAAGACATTTTAATTTTATTGCTTCTAAGAATTGATTTCCTTTGAGACTTTTAAGTCAGAAATTTAAGTTAAACAAACGGTATAGAGGGAGCAGTTTGGAAAGCTCACAGTGTCTCTGATGGTAGCAATTTACTGAACAGTTGTTATGTATCTGGCACTATTCTGAATACTTTTAATTTTGGAGTTATGACCCTACTAGTAGGTTACTGTTTTTACTGTTCCCCATTTGTTATAGGTAAGGAAGCCCAGGCATAGCAAGTAGATGTTAGAGCTGGTACTTGAAGCCATACTGGCTGGCTGTAGGCTCAGAGCTTCCAGCTCTATGGTGTCTTCAGTCACATTCTTACTGCCTCCTTTGCCCCAAAAGAAATTTTCCACTGAAATAGAGGGCTTAGGCATGATAGAAAGGAAGATGATTTGCTACATAGGGTAACTGAGCTCTGTTTTGTTTTGTTTTCCAGGTTTTGGAGGTGCCCTGGGTTACCTCTTGGGTGCCATAGACTGGGCCCATCTGGAACTGGGAAGAGTGCTGGGCACAGAATTTCAAGTCATGTTCTTCTTCTCTGCCTTGATGCTTACTTTCTGTTTTATTATTCATCTGTGCAGTATCCCTGAAACCCCACTTAGAGATGTTGCAAAAGATATCCCCCCACCACAAACCCCCCAAGACTCCCCACTGTCCTCAGAAGGAATGTACGAGTATGGTTCTATAGAGAAAGTTAAAAATGGTTATGCCAATCCAGAGCTGGCAATGCTGGAAGGAAAACATAAAAATCTGGCTAAACAGGTAAAGACACAAATTCTTTTTCCTTTACTTGGGCTTTCTTTCTTTTTAAAAAAAGTACATTGTTTTGTTTATTGCTTGTTTGATGTGAAGAGTTTTGTGAAGTCTAATCAAATCTCCAAAATCCTGATAGCTAGTATCACTTGGAATTAGAATTTTGCATCTTAAAAAAAAATGTGCATTTTCCTCTCGTCCGTTTGTCTCCTACTCCTTTCAGAACTTGAAATCAGGGGAAATGAGGCCATTTGTGAAAGGTTAGGCCATGTGAAAAGCCTGGAACCTCATGCCTGAAGAGTCCCTCAGTTGCCTTAGCCACATTTCAAAAGTTTAAAATCCCTTGGAGCTAGTGGCTACTGTTCAATAAGGTCCAAGTACAGAACCTTTCATAACTAAAGGAAATTCTCTTGGGCAACATTTATGTAACAATTTCCTCCTTCAAGCTGAGTCTAAATATCAATTCTTTTGTGATATAGTAAAGAAAGAAAGAAAGAAAGAAAGAAAGAAAGAAAGAAAGAAAGAAAGAAGAAAGAAAGAGAAAGAAAGAAAGAAAGAAAGAGAAAGAAAGAAAGAAAGAAAGAAAGAAAGAAAGAAAGAAAGAAAGAAAGAAAGAAAGAAAAAGAAAGAAAGAAAGAAAGAAAGACAAACAGTTGCAGGACTCAGGTGAAGAGGGTTAGATAACATGAAGACTGGGAAAATCCTTTGGATTTGGCAACTGGGAGGTTGTGTAAAAACTTAAAAGTAGCAGTTGAGGAGCTTTATAGTTTGGAAGCCAAAGTGTGAAAGGGATCGAGGAAAAAGTAAAAATTTGGGGCGAGTAGTGAGTATAGCAGAGATAAAAGTCCCTGTGAATGACTGAAAGTGTTGGGAAGTGGGTAGGGTGTGGAGTTTCGAAGAATTACATCAGAGTCTCAATCATGGCCCCCAATGAATTAAGGTGTAGGTGACTTTAAATTGCAATGGTCTGCAGGAGATGCAAGTTCATTTCTCCTCTTCTATAAAGGTCCAAATGGATGGTTTGGGGCTGATCTAATATTCTATGAGGGACCTACATCATTGCTGACATTTTGAACATGGAGTTTTCATTTTGAGGTTCCAAATGACTTTCCCAGTTATTATTGTTATGTCTAAATTTCTGCAAGCAGGGAGGAAAAAGGAAAAGGTGTGTTCTTTTCCTTTATGGACACAGCTTAGTAGTTGCAGCAAGCATGACTTTTGCTTATCTACTTAGACAATTAGCCAGGACTTATTCAGATGGCCCCATGTAGTTACAAGTCAGATGGTGAATATCACAGTCAGATGGTGAATATCACAACTGGGAACCTTGCTGAAACCTCTACGCCTTGTAAGAAAGGACAGCAGGTACTGGGGGTCAACTGTTAGTCTCTGACAACTTGCTAACTTCACAAAACTTATAATTATGTGGCCTTTTGTATTTTAACCCACAGAGTTCAGTTTTTTTAAAAATCTGCAAGATAAAGATGACTGCTATACATTCTATACAGAGGGCTTGTAAGAGTTAAATGCAATACTGAAGGTGAAAGCATCTAGTTTGGTGATTTACAAATATTAGTTGTTGTATAAGTCTACTCCCTTTCATAAAGCATCAGAAATTCAGGCATCAATTAAAATCCAGGCAAGTATGATGTGCTGAGGCAGGAAGTGTTTTTAATAATTTAAACTATTTTCAAATGAATGGAGTTTCATTACATGCAGGCTTCCCCTGTCCTGCCCTCTTGGGGATCCTTATTCCCTTCCGAAGACTCTATCCTTCCTTCTCTAACCATTCCAGTGCAGAAGCTCCTCTTTTTGACCATTCTGTTATGACATTCATTTCCCTGTTGGAATCTTTTAACTTTCTGTGCCTGTTTGTTAATTTGTATCTTCCCCACCGAATGGCAAGGGAATCCTCAGAAGAGGTGGTTACTGGTCCCTTCCCATTCCTGACATTTACCTCAGTGCTTGGCACATAGGAGCTGGTAGCAAATTTTCCATTTGTGGGTTGTTGAGAGAATGTGACAAAAATAGTCATGTGGAATATGGGTCTTGATGGAAGTTGCTAGGGTGAATAATAAGAATTATCAGAATCAGTAACATCCTGTGCATGGTTCTTTCTTTCATTTATTCATTCAATCACTATTAATAACCACATCTGGACCCACTGCTGAGTACCAGGAGACTGTAGTAGTCAAGACAGATCCTGTCCCTACCCTACAGAGTTGTTATCTAGCAAAGACTGCTGCTTTACTTTCTAAATAAATCTTTATTTTAAATAATTTTAGGTTTATAAAAAAGTCACAAATACAGTACAGAGTTCTTTTCTAACCTTTTCTAAGTTTTCCCTCATGTTAACATCTTAAATAATTATGTACATTTATGGAAACTAAGAAATTAGCTGGTACAATACTATTAAATAAAAAAGACTTACTTGAATTTTATCTGTTTTTCCACTAATGTTCTTTTCCTTTTCCATGATCCAGTCTAGGCTACTATATTATGTTTAACTAAATGGATTTTCAAATTTGGAGGCTGTGCTTTTTTTAAGTGTTATTTTAAGAAAATATTTTTGCTGCTTATGATTAATAGGAAAACTTCACTTTTGTTTATTCAATTATGTGCATGAGTAAAAGCAACAAAACTGTTATGAAAGTCTGTGGCTAGTTTTCTCAAGGTCTAAATTTTCCTCAAATATTGTTTGTTCTCTTCATTTGCTTAGCATTTTTTTCAAAATTAATGCAGAAGTAAACCTCAGCATTGCATGTGTGTGGACTGAGATAGAACTTTGGTTACCATCCTCCTTCTACCCAGCCACTTGATAGAAGAGTACAAGCAAAGAGAATAAACTGTTCATTCAATCCCACAGACATCCCACTCAGTTTAGGATGGGTACAGTGTATTTGTAACAGGAAAAACACAAAAAGGAACAAAGAAGTCATCGGGATGAAGTCTTCATTTTATCTTTTTTCCGAATTTCATTTAAATTTGTTGGGGCAATTTAGGTATATATAATGATCACATTCATTATAGAGATTTATACCTGTGCATAATATATCTTGATTCCTCCCCCCCCATTTCTGTCCCCTCCTTTTGAACCTCCTTCACCTACCCATTCACAAAGCCCTGTTTCTATTTTTTCTTAATCTCAGGGCAAATAGAGAAAACAAGCATTTAGGTCTCCTAAGACCTAGGCTCACCCACTTTGCCCTATAGCAGATTGTCTAGGGGAGAATATCTGCACTCCCTGCCCTGCCACTAACAAATCAGGTCTCTACTATGACTAGTTATACTGGAACACCTTGTGTAATTCCACACGAAACTGTGCTTTATTCAATGATATTTTCAGAAAATATTTTTGTTGCATCTAGTCAGTAGAAAGCATTCTTTTTCTTCATTCAAATTTTGTGTAGAAATAAAAGCAGCAAATCTTAGCTGCTTAGTTATAAAAGTCTAAATTGTTTTCCTAGGGTTAGGTTCTCCTTCAAATAGTGTTTGCTCTCTTCATTGCTTAGCATTTCTTCATTGTGTCTATAGATTAGCAAAAGGGAACATTTGAGATAATTACAAAAAGTGTGTGTATGTGTGTGTGTACGTGTGCATATGTGTGTGTGTGTGCTTGAGGGTTTCTGTAAAGCATATCAGGTAAAACACACACATATATATATAATAATCTTCATTTTGGGAAAAAGTTATATGGATAAAAATGGAAAGAAGATATGTCAAAATGTTTATTGTCAAATATATTTTACTCTTTTTCTGGGTAGTGGTTTACCAGATGGCTTTAATTCTCTTTTGAAAAAAAAACCACAAGCCTACAATAAATCCAAAATTTCTATAATAGACATAAAAAAGATAAAACAATGAGAAAATGTCATGAGTTAAGGAACAAAATCAGATGAAGTTTTACCATAAGCAGATATTATCCCTATAGAATATCTGCCCTTTTGACTGTCACTTTGCTAGATTATGGTTTATATCAGAGAATCACCCAGCCTAGAACATACTTCTCCCCAGAGGCTGTGCTAGAGATCAAACAAAATCCAGTGAGTGTAGAAGTTTTAAAAAGCATAGCACTCTCCACATTAGTAAGAAAACAGATACATCAAATGTAACTAACTCACATCAAAGGCTGCAAAATTTCAGTTAGACAAGAGGAATAAGTCCAATTGGCTATCATGAGTGTATAGTTACTGTACTATACACGTGAAAATTGTTAAAAGAGTAGACCATAAGTATTGTCATCACAAATAAATGATAAATGCTTGAATATGTTTGTCAGACTCTTATTGCTATGATGATAGACCCAAGGAGGTCAACTTGAAGGTGGGAAGATTTATTTTGGTTCATGGTTTCAGAAGCTCCAAGCTGTGACTGCCTGGCTGCAAGGCAGAAACACCATAGTGAGAGGGCGTGGTGGAAGCAAGCCGCTCTCCTCTTGGTGGCTGGGAAGCAGAGAGAAAGGGAAAGAGTCAGAGAGAAAGGGGCTGGAAACCAGATGTCATTCCCAATGTCACACCCTCATTATCCACTCTTTTCTATCAGGCCCAACCTCTTGTTTCCTTCACTTCCCAGTAATACCACTATGATCTCATCAATAGATTAATCCACAAATTTTATTAGAGTCCTCATGACCCAGTTACTTCCAAAAAGTGCAGTAGCAACCCAGCCTTCAACACAATGTGGCTTTTGGGGGACATATCAGATCCCAAGTACAACAGTAAGGTAATACATATATTAATCAATGCATATATATTAATGACTTAGCCATATATAAATGTGATATATCATGGGGTGCATAATGCATATACATATCTAATTTTTGTTAATTAAAAGTAATTAATGAGAACAAAAACTACAACATGATTTCTAGTGTGTGTCACAAACACAAAACTGTAGGTTCTGAATGGTTTGTTACTTCGTTTAGAAAACAAAATAAGAATGAAATGCATAGTAAAGTGTCTTAGGCTTCAAGCCAAGTATATTGTACTTCTCTTCCAAATGCTCATGTTGGAAATCCTTCTGTAGAGCAGTGGAATCGATACACTGCCTGGCCAGCTCCAAGGCCGTGGTCTTCAATATTTCTCCGCCATTGCTTTCCAGAATGAGAGTGGCTATGCAATTTGAGAATCAAGAGTTTTATTTATTTATTTTTTTTCTTCTTGGTTTTTCTCCGGTACTAGGAACCAAACTCACGACCTTGCGCTTGCCAGGCAGGCGCTTTTGCCGCTGAGCTAAATCCCCAGCCCAAAGAGTTTTATTTTTAATGGCAAGAGGCCTGAATTGTTTCAGAGTTCCAAATGGATTCCATAAAACCATCTCCAATTCTTCTGTGCCAAAAAAGCTGCTTTTTGCAACACATGGATAGTTTCCTTTTGATTGCACTGTTGTTAGTCCCCTTTCCCCCATGAAAACTCTTTACCCTGTTCCCTTATTAATTTGTCATTTCTCATCTCCAGTCGACACTGGTGCAAAGCATATGAAGTGAAACAATTCCTAAGGGATTTAGAAACACTGAAAGGGCTTTTCCAAGGGAATTGGTGAGTCAGGAAAAAGATACCATCTGAATATTCATTGTGAGGTAAAATATTTAAAGGAACTTTGAATATCTTCTCAGATTTGATGAAATATTAGTCACAATTTAGAAGTTTCTATTTATTTTTAGAAGAAAGAAAAAGTTAGGTTAACAATGAAAGCAGGCTGAAAATTATTTAAAAGGCAGAAGTATGAATTAATGTTTGGAGCAAGGGTGAATACTTGCCAGATTCACTTTCCCAATTGTGCATTTTTGGAAAGAGGAGAAGGAAAATGAATATAAATCACTTAGTTTGAAGTATGAAAACCAGGCTGTTGTTCCTTGGGCAATATCTTTTCCTACTTCTTACTGTGATTGAGGAAATAATAGTAATAAATGTCATGGTTGAAACATTGTGTCAACTTGGGGAGTCTAGAGGTTTGGCTAAGTGACTCAGCAGGAAGCCAGGATACTTACTTTGTATACATCCTGAGCCTGTGGAAGAGGAGGGCATGGAGATGATGTGAGAGTTACACGCCCCTTAGGTGGGGGTAGCCTGTTTACAAAGTAAGGCAGAGAAAAAGCTGCTTGCCGCCATTCCTCCCGGTTTGCTCTGGCTGTTTGCTGTTGGGCTGCCTTCCCCCCTTTGCTCTTGTTGCTTTGCTATCTTCTGCCTTGGAGCCAGCCAAGTATGGACTGAAACCTCCACAAACTGTAAGCTAAATAAACCTTTCCTTCCTTCATTTTGGGCGTTGGGTATTTTGTCCCAGCAGCAAGAAAAAAGTAACCAAGACAATAAACTACTGCATTTTTGTTACAATCACCACTCATTTTGACAAGTAACATATTCTGTGCATGGAAACAGTTACTTTTCTTAATTCCAAGGGAGTTTCTGTATTTTTTTAATACTAAGTATAAGAAAATTAGTACAATCATAGGCAATGGATTACAGACTACAAAATCAATAAAATTATCTAAGTGTACAATAGACATTTATTTCTCACAGTTCAGAAAGTTGGGAAGTCCAAAATCAAAGTGCTGGTAGGTTTCAGTGTCTAATGAGGGTCTAGTCTCCTGCTTACAACTTGGCGCCATTTTGACTAACACCATATCCTCATCTGAAGGAAAAGTGAATTGGTTAAAGGGCCTAAACTAGGTTCTTCTAGGTCTTCTAAAAGGCATTAAGGATTGATAATTTTAAAATATCAATTTATACATGAAACATAAAGTGGAAAATTCTGATTTTTTTGTGGCAAAGCAGTAAAAAACATTACAGTTTAATGTTGAGTTATAAAATGATTTGAAGTTATAACTAAAATAGGAAATCTCAGGAGACATAAATAAACTAACTGGAGTCTGTTTCACCTTGTCAAATTTCAGAATAAATAAAAATCTGACAAGAAAGACCATCACCCCGACGTGGTTAAGGTTCATACTGTCAATGTCATTGGGGCAGATGACTGCTTAGTATTCCAAGATTTCTTTCTTTTCTTATATGACAAGATGTTAGAGCTTCTTGCATTCTTTCTTTCAAAACAGATGTGTCAATGGTTTAAAATTTTTCACTCCCTCAAGTTTTTGAAACCAAAAGTTTTGAAACCAACACATAATTATAGTCTCTAGTTTTAACACAGTCTAACTCTAAACTGAAGAATTTGTGGCAAGTACAGTCATTTATATATGTATGTATGTTTACTTTCTTCTACCTTGTTGACATTTTTACTTGACACAACATGTATTCACTATTAACATGATCCAGAGAAATGAACTGCGAGGAGAAATGAACCTGGATAAGAGCAGTTTTCTGTTGTCCCATAAAAAATCATTATAAACTTGGGGCTTAAAACAACATCCTTTAATCACCTGACTGTTTTGTGGGTCAGAGGTCTGGGTACAACACAATGGTTTCTCTGTTCAGGGTCTGATAAAGTAGAAATTAACATGGCAGCAGTGTTTGGTTCTCGTCCGGATGCTCTGCAGGACAAGAGCCTTATCATAAGCACATTCAGGTTGTTGGCAGAATTCAGTTCCTTGTAGCACTGGACTTGCAAGGACTCGTGATTCAACCAGGGTCACACAATTAATTCCTTGATAAACTCAAGGCCAATTTATTGTATTTACAAAGTCTTTTTGCCAAGTAGAAGACTATAATCATGGGGGCAGCCAGGGGACAGAGCAGGCCATTTTGATTTGACTGACTAAGATCTCAGAGTCAAGAAATCTAGGAACTACAATCTGATGGCTAGCTGAGAGCTGTGAGATTTGACCTTGCAGTATCATTATATCCAAAGAGATCTAATCAATTATTCATCTGAATTCCTTTGTGATTTCATGGGGCTAGGGGTCTCTTTGCTACTACCTTTATTTTTTGTAAGAGAAAAACATCTTTCTACTCATAAGATAGGATGGTAGATGTTTCTTATATCTTGACCTGTAGCTAGCATCGTTCCCAGTGTCTTTGCTCTTAGTTCACAAAAAGCCTATTCTGGGTCTGAAACTGCTATGTAACTACTACTGCACAGAACACCTCTGAACCTACTCCATGGAAACCTACGTGCTATGTCCTGGAAAAGGGACTCTGCGTGACAGCCAGAGGACGGATATGTACCATGTCGGTGTGATCTGACTCCTGCAGGGGGCTGAAGGTCACACCTCTTTTCCACATTTCATTCCAGCCTCAGAAGGTAATGACCATGAAGTCACTTGTGAGCGCACTGGTGAACATGCCTCCCCACTACCGCTGCCTATGTATCAGCCACCTCATCGGATGGACTGCCTTCCTGTCCAACATGCTCTTCTTCACAGATTTCATGGGCCAGGTAAAAAATGAGTCTGCCCACATACTTAATGACACAAGTTACAATCCTTCATCAGTGCTCTCTTCTGGGCTGGCCTCTAGAATACAGTAAGAGTATGCAGTATAGTACAGTAGGAGTATAAGACAAAATACCTTCAACAGCTAGCTTACAGACAAGTTTTGGAAGCAGGGTGCTATATCTTTATACTAGAGGACACTGTGAGAACTACTAGTACTTGATTAAATACGACAAGTAGGGGCCAACCAATATAAGCTGTAGAGATCAAGGCAGGCCACATAAAGGAGGCCCAGCATGATCTGGCCTTGAAGGGTGAATAGGATTTGCAGAGATGTGGAAAGGCGAGAACACATTCCAAACAGGCAGAGAAAAGGCATGTATAGAGATGAGTCAAAAGCTTGTTGGCTACACCAGAGGAGGGGTGGAAGGATTGCCTAAGTCAGGTGAGGCCAGCTGTTAGTGGAACAGGGATGGTAACAATCCAAGGGAGTGTTTTTAGACTAGCAGCATAAGCATGAGACACCCTGAAGGTCCTGGAGCAGGTGTGATTGGAAGAAAGTGGTGACTAGCTCATGACTAGTAATGAGCTCTGTGCCCTAAGAAGGGCTCTGTGGGTAGCTACATGTTTGTTGCTCTTTCCAAGGGTAGATAAGCAAAGCACATGAGAAGGGGTCCCTGCCACATTGCATTTGTAACTCAACAAACCTTACACTTTCTTTCAGATTGTGTACCATGGGGATCCCTATAGCCCACACAACTCCACAGAGTTTCTCATCTATGAAAGAGGGGTCGAGGTTGGATGTTGGGGTTTGTGCATCAACTCTGTGTTTTCTTCAGTTTATTCTTGTAAGTCTTCCTCTCCTGAGGGTGTCCTCTAAAGGTCTCAGGCCTAACAGAATCAAGATTTTGTATTTCTCCACCTATTTTGTTCTTTTAATAACAGGCTTGTGATAAGTATAGGGATGTCAGGCAAAACTTAGATAGCACGTCAGGAAGTATTCTTTGTCATAGTGATTGCTAGGTGTCACTTCCCTCAGTAATTACTTTGTGCTTGGGGACTCAGTGGGTTCCTTATCAAGGTTTCCTGCAAAAATAAAACAGAATCTTTTAAACACCATGGTAAAGTGTTGGATGGGTGAGAAACAACATCCAAGCCAGTTCGTGTTTCACTGGAACAGGATCACTAGTGGTGTTTTAAAGATCTGCCAATCAGATTTGAAGATGGTACCAAACAGAAAGGATGGTTAAAGTGGCAGGGGACAAGACCATCGTATAAAATAACCTCAACTCTGATGTTCCCAGACCTGTGTTACAGAACAACTGTCCCAGGATAGAGAACAACTTGTCAGGCACCAGCTTCTGAAGAGATCTGGGCCTCTCGGTCCTTTAGTTGGCTCAGTTTTCACCAGGAAGATGTGGGATGCTGAGATTTCTGCTACTGGTTTTAAAGAAGTCCATCTTTAGGTGCTATAGCTCCAGGGCATCACACAGGTTCAGCCTGTGCTTGCTAATGTTTATGGTGAGCTCCAGGCGCTCTGCACATTGAATCAAATGAAATGTCTACCCTGAAATAGTCAAGTAGATCCTGTGTAGTGGAAATGTGGATCCTAAGTATAATGAGCTCTTTTCACTGCTCTGTGCTCCTTCAGGGCCTTGAGAGGAAAAGCTGACCCTCATCTCAGAGCTCCAGATTTTGCACAGACTCAGGGGCAGCAGTGGTGTAGCCCAGGTTACCATTCCCAGGACACACACTGTCCTCTTACAGGGGGAAAAGATTGAATCTTCCCCTGCTCTTCGCCTAGTCATAGCACAATAGGAAACCTGCTTCCAGATTACCTCAAAATTTACCACAACTGGCAGGAGATGACACAATGTAACATGTAAGGAATTAAGGAGTCCAATAATCATAGAGCCATAATATTATTATTTTGAAATGCATTACAATCAAATAGTGGTGGCTTGAAGCTTACATGTCTTTACAAACACTTTTCTTCCCCCTGGGAGTGTGTGAACTAAGAAAATTCCAGGAGGAATATTGAAATACTTAAAATAGAATCAGAAAGTGACAGACGAAAAGAATCTAATAAATTATTCATTTGAATTCTTTTGTGATTCCACGAGGCAAGGGGGTTATTTACTAGTACCTTCATTTTTGTAAGAGGAACACATTTTCCCACACATAATCAGTATTTTAACTTTGTGTCAATTTTAACTTTTTCCCCACCAGAGAACCCTTACGAGGTACCATTCAATTAGCCTAGCTTGAATTCCTATGTGTATTTCATGACATTTGAATATTTAAAAGCCATGTTATATTTAGTCCCTTTCTCATTAAAAGCCCTGTATGAAATAAACTGTTATTTAAATACTCTTCTAAACTTTACTAGTGTATGCGTCTATGAGACCCTTACCATTGTGAATTCATATCAAAATTTTATTCATAAAATACCAACCAGCCCAGATCTCCATGCCTACAGGACAAAGCCCATGTCTTGAACTTGGCATTTTCATATTTTCAGATTGGCTTAGTTCACTCTTTGACTTCTATTGCTGAATGCAAATTAATCACCCTAATGACCTCCTACGCAGACTTTCTCCTCTGTGTGGATTTTCCAGTGCTTTTAGTTTCTTCTACCTGACCTCTTTATCCTTCCACCAACATAATTCCTAACGATGCCCTTTGACCAGCCTTAATTATTACTTCTTCTAAAATGATCCAAAATTTTCCCCTATACCCTAGCCCACCATGGCCAGAATTGACTGATTTCTGTCACTTCCAGAGCATACTCTATTGTCCTCTATTTTGGATTCCTCACATAATATCAGCTGTAGTCCCAGTATCTCTATCTAAAGCAGCTCATCAGGGGAACCTTCAGGTTGGGGTGGGCTGTAGTGATAAGGGACTTTTTTTTCAAGCTCCTTTTACATAGCAAGCCACACTTACGCCAGTCAAAATAGCAATCTTAATTGTTCTTAATGAACACTAATATTCATGAGTGTTTAAATTAGCAATTTCCCTTTAACCCTAAAAATAACACTGTGGAAGGAGACGGCTACCCCTGGCTATCAGACCTATCAGAGGACACTGTATGTTTGGCTCTAAAATTTACTGACCTCTCAATAAATAGAGCATTTAATGGTCAGACTCGCAGTGTTTGTACTGAAAGTTACGTATGTTTCCAAATATACCTTTATCCTTGGTTAGAGCTACATATTGATGGTATCTTTCAGGTACTTAGACATCTTAGATTACATTTTGTGCATAAATGTAATCATTAAGCAACCTGGGTTATCCAGACTTATTATGAAACTGATCGGCTTATACTGCACGTATTTTTAACCTGAACAGCAGTTCTCCAGACATGGTATGAATTTAATAGAGGATTCAGTGCTGTCTGCTTGTCATTTCCACAGCTTGTCTTATATCCAGTGACCCCAGACATTGTTTTGTCTCATAATTAATTCAAACACACTGCAAATCAGGTGTCTTGTCTTTAAGGTAGAAGTCTGATGATTATTTGGGTAGATATGGGAAGTTTGATTCTTGAATAGGTACATTTCAACATCTGTAATTTATCCTCCTGTTCATATGTTCCAGGAGAATTAAGTAGAAGAAAGACAAGGAATCCACAGATTTAAAGCTGACTTTTTTTTTTTTTTTTTTTTTTTTGGTACTGGGAATCGAACTCAGGACCTTAGGCTTGCCAGGCAAGCGCTTATGCTGCTGAGCTATACCCCTGGCCCTTAAAACTGACTTTAAAAGGAAGATTAATGATATAGGGAGTTTTCCTTACCTTTATGGCAAACATTGTAAAATGTCTTGAAGCAGAGCTTAATTTATTTTATAAATTAGCTTCATTCCTACAGCTGTATGAGCAAATCAATTTTACCTCCTTGGAGAGTAATCTAATTAAGAGTCTGCAATGTGTGGACCAGCCAGTGTTTGTTGAAACAGCAATAGCCACACTACCTGGGCATCTTTTACATCCTCAACATTGGGCTGGGTTATTTTTCCGACATTTCCTCACTTGATTCTGACAATAACTCCAAAAAATTGTATTACTCCCGGTTTTCAGATGAGAAATCTCGACGATAAAAAGTTAAGAAACGGGTCTATGTGAGGGGGACAGCAGCGGGCCTGGTGGACCCTTCACCAGTGTGGAAAGGGCTGGCAAGTCAGAGAGAGTATCTTCAGAGAACTGTACATCTTTTACTTCTTCCCTATGTACATATACTGCATTCAGATGGAGACTAAGAAACCATGAGTGACTTAGCTTATTCTGCAAAAGTTCACTTACCTAATTTTCCCCAGATGACATTGGATGGTAGGTTCAGGATAAGTACACATTCTCATCTTGGGGTTATTGCACCAGACCTCTTGTGATTTTTATTTGATTTTATTTATGCTGATTTTTAAAATAATGCTTGAGATCAAACTGAAGCCTCACACACCCTCAACCACTGAACCATATCCCAAACTCTGAGCTAGACCTCTGTAACCAGAATCACCCCCAGTTCTTCTGCGCCTTGCAGCTCTAAGGGCCCATAGCCAATATAGGCTTTTGTACACCCTCTTTTGTATCTTTCTGCTATTCAGCTGTTTGCTAAACTGTGCCTTAGTCTCCTCTACGGAAAAGAAAATCAGCTTAGCAAGGCGATTTCAAGCTGTCTTCTATAGAGAGGATTAAAAACTGATAAAAAAAAAAAGCCAGCTGTTTTCAACCCACAGATAAGGAGGTTCTTTTGTTCCTAACTTAGTATCAAAAGTCTCCTAGAAAAGTGAATCTTCAAAAGAAAGGATTGTTTGAAATCGTTAAATGTTGTGAGACACTGCCAGCTGTAATTTTCCCCTTTCTTCTCTCCACAGACTTTCAGAAAGCTTTGGTATCCTACATCGGCTTAAAGGGTCTTTACTTCGTGGGATATTTGCTGTTTGGCTTGGGGACAGGATTTATAGGACTCTTCCCAAATGTCTACTCCACGCTGGTCCTGTGCTCCTTGTTTGGCGTAATGTCCAGCACCCTGTACACTGTGCCCTTCAACCTCATCACCGAGTACCACCGTGAGGAGGAGAAAGAGGTGTGCGCTCACTGAACCCCCGCCTTGGGTACCATCTACACTCACCTAAAAGCTGTCTGTGGTGTGTGTGTATGGGGAGAGATTTGATAGGAAAGTACAGAGAAGAGCTGGAAAGTAAGAGTTCTTAGCGCCGCAGCAGTAAGTGTACAATCAGTCATAACCAGTGCAGCTGGGTCCTCTCCTTCCCATTCCAGCCCCTGGTGCAACTGGTGAGCCGGAGGACCAGAACTGGTACTATTTGTTTGATTAGGAAAAAGGGGCTCAGTGATGCTGAGAAAGCATCCCACAGCCATACAAAGAAAGGGGGACCCAGGTCTTCTACAACTAACCAGTAGTTTTCCCAGTGTACTGAAAGCCTGTCTGGATGCACAAAAATCAAGTCTCCCCACCCCAAGACTGCAAAGGTGCAGAGTAGAATTCTGGGGTTTACAGGTGTGGGTAGGAAGTTCCTAGACAACACTGCCTTTGGGAGCCCAGGCTTTAATAAGTGTGCAGAGTGGAGCCATAGGTGGTCATCCCTACCATGCTACCTCGAGGGATACATACTCCATCTATGGCTTGGAACTCAGACCACAGGGGGAGAGCATAAGTGGTTCCGATAAGAACCCCAGGTTGAATATTTTTGGTCTAAGACTATTACCCCTTCTACTAGAAATATGCAACTTGTTCTCCATGTAAAAAGGCATATTGTTCTTTGACTAGAGCAGTGAGGTCCAAGCCAATGCAGTAACTTTGAGTTTAATCCATCTCAGCACAAAACTGCAAAAACACTAAACACATGTGACAGTAATTCTGACCTTCTTTTTGCATCATTTAATTTGGCAAACACAACAGGCCAGAGCGGTACTGAGAACTAGGACTTTTCAAGCAAAGGTTGCAGCTTGCTATACCCATCTTTTGACAAACATGGTCACCAATATTTCAGTGCAGAATGGGGGTTTTGTTGTTAAAGAGATTGTCATCATAAAGAACCCCACCTCCATGGAGAAGGTTATACGGCACCAAGCGTAAAACACATAAGCTTTAGACTCAGAAAAACCTGGATTCAAATCCTGCTTCCCCTCCTTTGAAACTGTATGGCCATGGGGATGTTATTTACTTACTTATGAAATAGCTCTTTTAAAATGAGTTCATTTTAGATGAGATAATGTATTCACATTACTCAACAATAACAATGACAAACAAAACTGCATTGTAAATGGCTCCTTTCATGATTTTGCTACCCCTCCTAGCCGTGATACGTTACTACTCTTTATTAGTTTTTTTAATCTGTGCAGTATTTTTAAGTGAAAATCAAATAATTTATTTTCTTGCCTATTAAAAGGATAATATCATTTTTTTCTACACAAGGCTTATGTTACTGCATAGTATAGGAAATCACAATTTAAACTGTTGGGTGCTCAATTTTACCATGAGTCAAATAGAAATAACATCTACTATATAAAGTTGTTGAAAAATTAAATAAGATAATGTAAGAAATGTGCTTAGGATAGTGCCTATTTAGTACCTTTCTGATGAGAACTAAAACAATAATATCTAGCACTATTGTTACATAGGGATAATGGTAATATGTGTATCTAACACAGGAGTGAGGATGAAATAAAGTACTGATTCTAAAAGTACGTTACAGGGAGCCTAGCATAAAAGAGACAGCCAAAAATTCAACTAAACTCAAATATTCAAATTTAATTGTTAACTTATTGATATTAAACATTAATAATCACTAGTTAATATTGATCGTTAATCAAGCAAGTGCTTGAATTGATTTTTGTGTTGCTTCTCCTGAGGGTTTTAGGTGTTCAGCATCCTTTTGAAAATGTGTGAATCTTCAACACTAAGCAGAAAAAGAATAGAATTTACACTTTATTGGGTTCTACCACACTGTATTTATTGACTGCTTAGGAAGAGATCATTTTGCATATATTAACCTTTGAATCTCACATGTGTTAATGGTGGGCTTTAAGAATTTGGCACAGGTAGGGAAGACAGCGTCAGCAGGATGGAACTTCCCTGGTGTCTGTAATCAGGCTTGGTGGCCAAGTGAGGCCTGCTTCCTGTTTTTGTACAATCCATGACCAAGATTTTATTTTAAATGATTGAAAAATATCCCGGAAAACGATAGCATTTTGTGATAAGTAAGATCGACTTGAAGTTAAACACCAATGTCTGTGAAGTTATGCTGGGATGCAGTTTGTTTATGTAGTAACTATTTTTGCACTGTAAAGGGAGTTATAACCAAGACCATATGACCCACAAAGGTATTTACTATCTGGTTTTTTATAGAAAAAGCTTGCTGATCTTGGCCTTAGGGTGGCAGTTGCTTTAGCTTAAAGTATGCTCATGTGCTTCCCTTGCAGAGGCAGCAGGCCCCAGGATGGAGCTCCGGCGGCGGCAGCAGTGAACGTGGGAAGGGCATGGACTGTGCTGCTCTCACTTGCATGGTGCAGCTGGCTCAGATTCTGGTCGGAGGTGGCCTGGGCTTTCTGGTCAACACAGCTGGGAGCGTCGTGGTGGTGGTAGTCGCAGCCTCTGCCATGGCATTCATTGGCTGTTGCTTTGTGGCTCTCTTTGTTAAATACGTGGATTAGGTCAACAAAGAGACAATGGTCTTACCCTCAGACCAGTGAAGCACACGGCAAGGGAATCCATCTTTTCTCTGCTCCTGTACCTTTAGAACCACTCCTCTGGGTGTCCTGCATTGTGATTTTAGCTGAAATCATCTGCTCACCCCTCACAAGAAGTCCAGCTCCCTGGCACAGCAGACTGAAGTATCAGCATCATTTGTCTGAGCTCCAACTCTGCACTGGTATAAGTGTGGCTGGGTGCACGTGGCATACTGCGTCTTCCTCACTGCGTCGCAGTGCAAAGGTGGGCGAGGAAGGGTCTGTTTTGCACAGAGCTTTTCAGGTCTTGAGAAGCACACTAATCCTACCTGTGATGCTTACATTTATCCTGTAAGATGCTCTTTTGAAAAGTCAGCAGTCCTTACAAAGTTGGAGAGTCACATAGTTCACTAAGTTCACAAATACTAAAAATATGACTGATGATTTTTATGATTTTGATTTTTTATATTTAACTTGCTCATAATTGATGCCTATTAATAATGTATGACATTCTGAGAAGTCTGCTTGAACCTTCATGCTCATTTTATTACATAGTAAATTTATTTCTGTCCAGTTTGCTCTGTTGTTTCCTCCTCTGGAATTGATATGAAAATCTTTCAGTGATCTTCTGTGCCCAGGCTGAGCAGCCTTCCTCTAGCCATATCCCTCCACTGTCCCTCTTTGCAGTGACGTTTTCAGCACCTTGGAAGGCAGCATGCTTAACAGGGACACCATGAGCTATGGAACCCAGCTGGGTTTAAATCTTGGCTTTGCTACTTACTGGTGAACTATTTGATCTTCCTAAGCTACACTCACTCATCTATACATTGTGAATAATAATTCCTATACCAGAATGTTGTGATTAATAATATGCAACATAGTGTTTACCACTACTCTAAATGTTTTGTCCATGTCAACACAGCAATTCTGAGAGTTGGTGCTGTTACTGCTGTCCATTTTGCAGATGAAACAACTAAGGCAGAGAGGTGTTACACGGCTTCTCTGAGGCTACACAACTGTAACCAGCAGAGCTGGTCTTTGAACCTAGGGCCTCTGTCTGTGCTGCTTCCTGTAGGAATAGCACCCTAGCCTGGTGAATGGCACTTGCTCGGTGCTCAGGGAATGGTAACAAGCTATGGTCATAGCTACAAAACACACATCATCCCGCATCCCTAGGTCTGCTCCAGGTTTTTATAAGTGCTAACTGATGTGACTCCCAGTGTGCCTGACTAATGCAGAATGATCTGTCCACTTGTCTTTACAAGTTAAAAAAAGTTACGTTACGGCCTTTCCTACCTTATCTTGGAGCCCGGTAGTATAGTTAGTTATCACTCAGGTGAGTTTCTGACTGACCAAATCCTTCAGTGCTGTAAAGGAATTTGAGAAGGGAAACGAGCTGGCTCTAAGAACTGGGAAACGTGGCCAAGAGGATGTTGCTTCTTGACCATTTCCCTTATCCTCCCACTCTTCTGTGTGTCCAGCCCTGTGAGAGCCCTTGTGTGCACTTTGGTATTAGCATATCCGTAGCCTCCCAGGCCTCTCCACTTTCCAGCACCTGCACAATAGCCACCCTTAGCTGCTCCTCACACCCAAGGGCACAGTGTGCTCTGCCTCTGGAAGACAGACTCAGAGAGAGCCCCATGGTTTTATAGATAGACTCAGCATTGTGTGGATGGGAATTCTGGGGCCTTGTGTGCTGGAACATAATCTAGAGTGGGGGAGGCATTCCTCACCATGTAGAGGGGCACGGCTGGAGGAGTGGGGCAGCAAGGCCCTCTAATGATGAGAAGGGTGTCTAGGGGAAGACTACCAGGCTAAGAGTTTGCAGAGAGCAGAGTCTCTCCATTCTCTGTTACAGCCACTTTCCTCTCCCCAATTTCTCCATCAGCCACAAATGGCACCCATATCCCTGTGCCTCACACTCCCTCTCTCCTTCCTGCTACTGCTTGGATGTTTACCTTGCTGCTGCCCAACTGCCTGCTTTTCTGTTTAAAGGGCCTGTCTCTGCCGCTACTTCATTATCACACCTGTGGCTGAGCTGGAGCATCTGGAACACCCTCCAACCCCGTCTCCTTTTTTATACTAGTGTCCATAGTAGCAGAAGAATACACTCCAGCACAGATTCCCGAGCATTCTGAGCTACCCACGCACAGTATCCTATTGTCAAAATCCAAATATCAAGTTGCTCTAATAAGAATCTCTCAAGGAGACTCTAAAATTGGTGATGTTCGTACGTGTCCTGTGATAATTTATTTTTTCCCATGGAGATTTTTCATGCATTTTGTATTTTGGAGACTTAGGAGGTTTATATTTCAACCTTCTTTAGTCCAGTTGCTAGTTAATATTAATATCAGTAAGTTTTACCTATGAGAGATAAAGGAAGACTGAAATGACTACTTTGAAACAGAAGCACTGGTCTGTTTTCCGAAAGGCAACTTCTCAAGATTTGTCAGGACTGCTATCAGGCAGCTTGTGGAAGGCTTTATGAATATTTAGGTATTGCGCTGTGTTGTGTTACAGACAGGGGAATAAAGGATTGCAGAGTTGTAGCTCTCATATTTTGAGCTTTAAATCTCAGACATTACAGAAAATTTCCACAGAATTATTGAAGAACTCTATCGTTTATGAAACCATTTAGACACATTTTTCTAATGATTATTTATTGTATTAAAATGACCACACTTGGAGGTGCCTGCATCACCAGTTTCTTGACCCCCTCCCCACAACCAAACAGCCAAAGAAAACAGTAGCACCTCTACCAATCCTGGCAGGTAGATGGGTGGGGTGATGTTTGATCTCAGTTCTCAGAACAGCTTCAAGAAAGGACTTTGTGAGGATCTTAACATCTTAAGCTGCTACACGGACAGATTTGTCATGAGAAATGCGAGTTACTTTTCAGAGACCCCACTGACTGTGTGGAAGTTAGGGAAGAATTCAACATGCATATGCCATGTGCAAAGCGTTCTTTAAAATAAAAGGAATTTGGTTAACTATTCTGTGGGAGTTCTCATTTCTTACCTGCTCTTGTCAAATACTATGAGCAATAAGGAACCTCACACCTGAAATTCCTGTGATCCTCTCAGAACAGCTTCTCCAGCAGTCTCCTTGCTTTGGGATGATTTTAGGATGTCTTCCATTCTTTTTCACATTTCACACCTCTTGAAAGAACAGACCCCTGCTTGCAGGAATCCAGTCTGCAGAAAGTCACTGCATATTTCTACAGCATCGCTTACTCTTTTAAGCTTAGCCCAAACCTCACAGAGCATCCTTCTATTCTGTGGCGCAGAGGCTGAATCACAGGAGCATCCTAATTTCCAAACAATGAAGATGAGGGGCTGCAGATGTGCTCTTGCTCCCTGGAGAGCTTTTCAAGATGCTCCTGAGTCCTGCTCACCTACAGTATATGAACCAAAGGGACCCAGACTGCTTGTTCTGTGCTGCTGCTGCACATCCTGCTCAGTTCCCAAGTGGGCACCAGAGTCCCTTTAAGGGCAATGGCCTGAAGACATTTTTGTACTCAGCCTCTCTAGCTACACTGCCTTGTCCTGCATTAAGGCCACTCCCAAATGAATCTCTCTCTCACTTGGGACAGACGTTTTGCCCCTGGTAACATCTGCACTCAGAGACTGCAAGCCTACAGTCAAGCTTGGCTTCTGCCCACTTGCCCCATTGGAAACACAGATGATACCTTGCCTCCGCTGGAGGTGCCTCTCCTTTGTCATTTCTCCTAGGACAGACCAACATGGTCAATGCTTTCTCCCAACTCTGAAAACGGTTCTTCCCTCCAAACTCACTCTCAGGGCAGCAGCTTAGACCTTTGCTCCCCAAGACAGTCTTACAGGCCAAGGAACAAAGGTCTGTATTTTGGGGGCAGCTTTTCTTTTTGGACACAGCTTGAAGGCCTAGCAAGAGCTGCATGAATATCCCCGGAATAAATGCTCAGTTATCTCTGCATCATTTGTCTGGGCCCCAATCCCTGGGCCCCAATTTCTCTACTTTTCTGATGCCTCTCTCTGTTTCTGGGAGTTCCGGCCCTGGCCAGGGTTGGTAGATACCCTAAGGAAAGGACACAGGGGTGGGATTCGGTGGAGAGCCAGGGTTAGTGGCCAGGTCCTGTGGGTGTGACTTTCACTCCTTTGCCAGCTTCTTCTCTTTGCCCGATTTTGCAGGCTTTCTTCTCCAGAGAAGGCCCTCCAGGCTGCACACAGGTCGCTCCTCTACCTTCTCCCCATCCTCTTCTACTTCTTAAAGTGGGGCCCCTCAGTCTCCAGTTGTCCACTCTCCTTTTTCCCTGCCCTGGAGGAGGGGGGCGGTGGCTTTGTTCTGCTGCATACCCTGAGTCTTGCTTTCTATCAGTAGGCTGAGCTGCTGGGGAGCAGGTCATAGCGCCCCCCACTGTACACCACCACCCCCGGCGGGTAGTAGAGCAGGTCAGGCTCTGTGCCTGAACGGAGCGGGGCCAGCGCCTGCAGCCGGTGATCTTCTGGCTCCGGCTTGGTGGTGGCGGTGAAAGGACGCATGTTGGTAAGCGAGGGCGATGCGAGCCGCCACAGCAGGTTCTTGAGCGCCTTGCGGAATTCGCGGCGCACGAGACAGTAGAGGATGGGGTTGAGGCAGCTGTTGGAGTGCGCCAGGCACACGCTCACGGGGAACACGTACACCTGGCACAAAAAGTACTCCTGGCTGAAGGGCACCGCGTTGAACTTGATGAGGATGCTCCAGGTGGTGAGGGCCTGGTTCGGCAGCCAACACAGGAAAAAGGATAAGACCACGATGGTCACTGATTTAGTGACCTTGGACCGTCTCCGAGCGCTGGCTCCCGTCAGGCCTCCGCCAGCGGCTGCTTCAGTCCCCACCACGCGGCGGTCAGAGATGAAGCGCACCAGCAGCAGGTAGCACAGGCTGATGATGCCCAGAGGCAGCAGGAAGCCTATCAGCACCTTCTGCGAGTGGTACAGGCCCAGCCAGAACTGCCTGTCACCACCCAGCAGCTTGTCCGGAAATCGCACCAGGCACAGCTCCTCGCCCATCACCTTGATGGTGGTGGAAAAAATGGCATTGGGCAGCGAGCCTAGCGCGGCCAAAGCCCAGATCAATACACAGATTGCTTTGGCGGAGAAGCAGCAGCTGTCTTCCAACCTCTGGCAGCAGCAGTCCCCACGGCCGTGCCCTCGGGTCCGGTGGCTCTTAAGAGCTGAGGCCACCGAGTGGTAGCGCGCCACACTCATGGCGGTGAGGAAGAAGACGCTGGCGTACATGTTCATGGACGTCACTATGGACACGATCTTGCACATGGCTTTGCCGAAAGGCCATTTGAAGTCAAGCGCGTTCTCCACCGCCCAGAAGGGCAGAGTGAGCACAAACTGAAAGTCCGTCAGAGCCAGGTTGGTGACAAAGAGGTTGATGGAGGACTTGCGCCAGCCTTGTTTGCTCTTCATCAGGTAGAGCACAAGCAGGTTGCCCGCAAGCCCCAGCGCGCAAACCACCCAGTACACCGCGCTGATGAGAATGCGCACCCGGGCCTCTGTGTCCGAGCTCTCCGCCCCGCTGCTCCCCGGGGGATGCCCTGGCGCGGCGCCATCGGGCAACTCCAGCCCCAGCTCCCACCACAAGTCCTGAAGCTGAAGCGACGCGTTGCCACTCGCGTTGGCCGCCTGCAGAAGGTCCGGGATCAGACTGAAGAGTTCTGCGAGCTCCTTACTTCCAACAGCCTTGCTCATGGTGGTTGTCTTGGCTGTAGCAGCCAGCTCGATGCGCAGGTTCCTCTAGGCCATGTCTGGGGAACAGGAACTAAGGGAGCAGGCTCTCCACGGGTGCGGTCCGCAGCAGGCGCGGTGTGCGCGGGAGCTCGCAAAGTAGCAGCAAAACACAGCGCCTAAGACCTGGGTACTCTGAGCGCCTTGAGCGCGCGGGGAGCGGTCCTGGGCGCAGGAGCTGAGCTGGACGTCTGCCCTGGAGCTGAAAGGGAGAGCAGAGGGCAGTGCCTAAAGGGAGCGGCATCCAGGGGTCTCCAGCCAAAGGCAGAGTCTGGGTTCCCGCTGCGCGACTGAGATCTCCCCTCTGCGTTTCCCGTTGCCACCTGGGCGGTGACGCAGAACCCACCTGCTGCTCAGGAGGGCGACTCGCACCGCTCCTCCTTCCAGTACCTCTGTTGGTTTCCTCCGCTGCCGCTTGTCCTTTTAGAGAAAAATAGAGATCGGGAAGTTGCGTCCACCTCGTTCTCACAGCCTGGAGGTCTGCAGCTGTCTCAGTCTCTCTGCAGTTAACTCCCAGTGAATTTCCGAGGGCACTTTGCCCTGTTATAGTCTCAGGCACCCACAGAGCCGAGGCGGCGGGCCCCAAGGAGCATGCGTAACCCGCGCGGGCAGAGGGGGCGCTTTCCGAGGTGCTGAACCCCGAGGCTGCGCCATAGCGGAGGAGGGAGAGAGGGGCTGCTGGCAGAGCCCACTGACAACTGCCCTCTTCCTCTTCAAAGTTTCAGGAGGAAAGGGTAGTACTTATTTTCTTGGAGAGGGCTTGGTTTGATTTGGGTTCCCTCTCCCCTCATTACTCTCAAATACTAATACTTTGAAGGTTTTTGTTTCTTCCTTTCTTCCTCACCCATTTGGTGAAGGATGGTTCTGAAAATCCACCATCTTCTGACCCCTTCCCAGTTAAAATCATGCAGAGCATGGTCACTGTTTAGTGACCTTGGACGTCACCAGGATCTGTCTCTGAGGATGGATCCTTAGTGAACACTCACATGCAAGTTTGGCTTCCTCTTTCTTACTTAACTGACCACTTACCCAGTGTCTGGTTGTCAGGATTTCCAAAGGGTCTTCGGTGCATTCTAAGTTAAACGGAACAAGTATTTGGTTGCGGACCTCGCATATGTCTAATACCACCTGTCCAACCAGGGATCCGGAGCTCCTGGATGTATGCCCCGTACTCTCTTCACCGAGATGCAGATGAAATCAAAGACAATAGCGCCATTATCTCCTCTGTTTTCTCTATTATTAAAATCATGACTCTCTCCGATGTTTTTCAGACCACAGACAGTAAATTCTAAGGACTCTTACAGGGGATGAATGGAAGCCATTTGCATTACTTCTTAAATCGTGGCTTATTTAAATGCCAGGTAAACCGCTCTGGTATAAATTGCATTTTTAAAGATGGACTTACGGGATTTTTTATTCTCTTTAATGGTTTCAACAAACTTCCATTCTTACATCTGGTAATATGAGCAACATAGTTGAAGGTAACAATATGTAATATAGCAACCACTGTTAATTCCTGTCATTTTGTTTTGAAACTCTGTATCACTTTTAATGTTCTTGCTTGTTTTGTTTATGTTTGTGATGTTGGTATGCTGCTGTTGCTCTTTATTTTTTCTTTTACTCTTCTCTTTAAAATAAAAAAAACAAAAAAATAAAAAAAAAAAAAAATAAAGATGGACTTACGGAATTTGAAATGTTTTCCTCACTGGCTAGTATTAAATTAAAATAAAAATATTTTAAGCATATAGTAATTGTCTTTCCGCCTAAACTCCTGGCCTTGCTCACAGAGGTTAAGAGGTGAATTTTTAAAACAGAGGAGATAACCAACAACAACAACAAGCTTAGTACGAAAGTAATACGGTGCTCAAAACATGAGGGAAAATAAAAACAACCGTGATTCCAGAATCAGAACACGCTTCTTTCCAAAACACTTAGCTATAGACGCTGTACCTTTATCTTCCCGCTAGAGGGCGCGAGGGCTTTAGTAAAAACCAAACCAAACGACGCCTCTATAATCAGTACTTACCTGAAGATAAATCCTGCCCAGGTTATTTCTTCCAAGCCACGGTTGCCTCTGTGGGTGCGTCTTATCATTGTTCTAATAGCCTCATCTTCCCTTTCACGATCACATTTCACTTTTTAAAAATCGAATCAAATTGTATCTATTTTGTTGCGTTTATATTTTAAGTGAAAATCAAAGAGCTCTGGGGCACCCGCCGAAAGCCCTCCGGTTTAAAGTTGTGGTACCTTCACACCAACTCCCCCACCCCCCACACAGCCTCACCATCTCTGTGCTTCTAGTCCCATCTGACAGCACGTCTGCTTGATCTGCCCCAAATTACACGAAGCATTCACACTTTATGGAGAATACTGCAGGACCTTCATTCCATTCGGCTTACATTCACTGGCACTTACTCTAGCTGGGCGCTGAGCTAGGCTGACAGACACATTACGATAGAGTCCTCTATTCAATCCTCTCTGGAACTTTAATCTAAATTAGTGTGCAATTTAGTAATGTCTCTGACTATATTTTTTGTTTAGTCTTGTGCATGACTAAGTTATCAAGAATGTACTGATGTGTGCCAGATGCATGAACAATAATTTTAGGTCTTTGATGTCCCTTCTAGTTTTAAGGGGTGGGTGGGTAATAAGCAGTTATAGTGTATTTGCTGCGCTGTTCCAGTTTTCATCTTTTAAATTTCAAGCCTGCTTACATATATTTGTATTTGAACAAATCACAGAAGAGGGAAAATTCAGTTTCTTATGTTATATAGTTTATTTCTTGGTCCTCTTTCTCCCTGAAATTAAGATCAGGGTGTGATGGAGATGGGGAGGAAATTCTTGTTAGCATCCAGAAGGCCTTTATCCTGCATCCTGAAATCTTTTCCTGGATTTCTCCGTGTTTCTGAAGTCGCTGGAGGCATGGGAATTCATGAGTGAGGCCGGAGTAAAAGCATACTGCAGCACATAATTTCCAGAAATCCATAATCATAGTCTCTGGCAAATCACTAGCTTCAGCCTGGTGTTTTGCAGAGGAGGCCTGGAGGTATAAAGGGATTTGCTCAGGACCTCACCACCAGGAAATGGCACACCAAGTCTAATCCATAATTCTCTTGACTTTTAGGTCACATCTTTTGGTCCAGTCTTCACTTCCTAATTTGGATCTAACTCTTCCGTATTTTTCAATAATGCTGAGTAGTGACCCCTCAAATATGTTTGCATCTTAATCCCCAGCTTCTCTGATATAACTTATATAGCCAATAGGACTTTGTACATGTGATTAAATCCAAGGTTTTGACATGAGGAAGATTTTTCACAGATTAGGCAGATGGAACCAATATATTCACAAGTCCATAAGATTCAGAGAGAAGGAATCAGTGTTAGAAGAGAAGACAGTGTGATAACTCAGGCAGAAATTGGAGTAATGGCCTTCGAAGATGGAGGTAGGGAGCGCGAGTCAAAAGAATACGAAGCCACCAGAAGCTGAGAAAAGCTGGGGGGGTTCTCTCCTAGATCTCTAAATAGACACTGTCCTGATGATGCCTTGATTTTGTACCAGTGTAACTGATCTGAGACCTTTGATCTCTAGAATTGTGAGACAAAGAATTTGTTTTGTTTAAGCCACTGTATTTGTGGCAATCTGCTACAGCACCAATAGAAACCTATGCAAAATGTACACACCTGAACATTATATAAACAGAAATTGAGAAATCCTGAGTTAAATATGTTGGTTGATCTTAGCAGATCATTAACTCACTGCACAAATATTTATCAAGTACAAGCTTTATGACAGGTACTGTGCTATGAACTAGAAACTTAGTGATAAGTACAACTACGATGAGTTCCTGTTCTCATAAGTGAGCCTAACATTTATGAGTTGTATGATTATAATTATAAGAAGGAAGACAAAATAAAATAGAAAGGTTTTGCAACAGCAAGCAAAAACACTGAAATGACACTCAGGATTTGGAAGCAGATTTGTTTACATCAATGGGCACTGATTGGGTTCATTTCCAAAATATCAGGCCCTGATGTCTGGTAGCCTAGCGCTTATATGAGATAAGCAAGCAGGAAGTGCAGAGGCAGACTGGTTTGTCAATTGGGGATTGGTTTATACAATGTGCATCACAGTGACCAGCTGTTCCTAAGAGACAGAAGCAACTGGAACTGGAACAGAAACTACTACCTGGGAACTAGGAAACTGAATTATACTGGCTTAGGCGGGGACATTTTCTGCTGTAGTATAACCATATAAAGGATGTAATTTTTAATTCTTTCTGAGCATATTTATTAAACAAAAATACCTCTTCAAACTAAAGGTTTAAAAGTCAATATGATTCATATAATTTTTGTATGTGTATTTAACTAGATAGAATTTTCTCCCCAGAAAAATGTTAATAAATGATGTGCCTTATAAGCTATAGTAACTTGGAAGAAAGGAAATTCATTAAGTAGGCAAAGGAAAAGGAAAAAGAGAAAAGTATTATGTTTTGGGGGATATTTTTGCAAGGGGAACAATATATAATACAGGACATATGTTTTATATGATTATTTATAAGAGTCACCCAAAGAACAACATACAAAAGAGTGCAGGAAATCTGTCCACACACTATAGATCAGGAATCCAGCTGAAGGCCTGAATACTGTGATAATGTCCTACATGATTCCAGCTGAGGACCTCGAGTTCATAACAGTGCCTCCCACGAATCCAGCAGGAGGCCCAGAGCCCACAACAACATTGCATGCAGGCCTGTTTCATGGATCTGCACTGGGAAGGCCCAAAAGTCAGTGCTAAAAGAATCTATGAAGTCTATGCCAGCAGGATAAAGGATCTGTGCTGGCAGGCTGAGAGATCTGCACTGGAGCCAGGAAGTGACACTCAGAAGAACCAGAGCTCCCCTGAAAAGTACCACAGCTATCCTCAGCAACAGTGAGGTCTTGAGCTCCTCAGAGGATGAAGACAGCTGAGTTC